AGCTACCGGGTCCAGCACTCGAACCGCGGTTGACTACATGGGAGTCCAGCAATATAGCCATTACACTAACTGCTGCCCCTCCCCCCTGTTTTACTGATAAGGGAATACATTTTTAAAGGATTATGACTTGGCTAAGGTTAGTTTAGGGTTAGGATTAGGACTAGAATTCACATTTTTTTAGAGAAATTTTTGCTATAGGGTGCATGCACTCACCAGAGAGACAGTGAGAGAGACATAGTGAGAGAGGGAAAGCAAGAAATCATCCCCCAGGGGGGATGGCCATGCTGCAATCCCTTCTCCATTCTCCTTCTGGTATCTTGGACATGGATGCACATGCACCTGGAATGATTTTGAAGTCACTGGATCTAGGATTTGAACCAGAGTCGACCATGTGGGAGTCCAGCAATGTACCTGCTACACCATCTACTGGTCCCAAAACTCACATTTTTAATTCCCAACTCATTGGTCCTTCTAAGGAATCACATTTGTATCACTAATAATTAGTCACGTGATGATCCTAAATACATTGTGTATATTTCATTTTGTTCAACTATATTTTAAAAAATCTCTTGAAACTTCCATTGCAGAAAGTTATCTAAAAGAAGAGACTTTTGTCACCTCCCATGGAAAGTGAAGGGACAAGGAAATGACTTCTCAAGAACCTTCTTTTACCTATCATTCTTTTGTTATAACAAATACATGCAAATTTAAGCAAATCAAGGAGATATGTGAAATTAACTGATGATCATGTTTTCACCTTAAAAAAAAAATGCCTACTTGATTTTAATCTACCTGAAGACTGGAAATGTACCACATGTTTAAAAGCTAGAATTTTCCTAGCATGCTCTGCTGTGCCTGGATTTGTAAATGTTCAACAAATGCTTGATGCATGGACAAATAAGGAATTTTATAAAATAGAGCAAGACTTGGCCTTAGTGGTATGCACTGCTAAGACAGTATGCTGGGACCACATGGGAGGCCGCGGTTCAGTTCACAGTCAACCTAAAGGCCAGGCACGACATTGAGCACCTCTAGTCCCAGCCACTTGGGAAACTAAGGAAAGAGGATTGGAAGTCCAAGGCTGTCCAAGCAACACACTGATTTTCTGTCTGAAAAAAAAGAGCCAGGAGTGGTGGTGCATGCCTGTGGCCCCACCTGGAGGCTTAGACTAGAGGAGCGCAACATTGCGAGACCCTGTCTGAAAAAATAACAACGAGGGCTAGCCAGTGCTGTGGTGGTTAAGGCATCTGGATACCGTATGGCTGACTGTGCAGTTTGAGTCCCAGACCAGGCAGCCTGAAAAAATACACCAGGCAGGGCTAGAAAGTGGTGTGTGATTAAAGTGCTGGACTCCCACATGACTGATTGCAGTTCGAGTCCCAGACCTGGTGACTTGAAACTCACACCAGGTATCCTGGGAGGAGGGTGGAAGGTGAAAACATGATCATCAGTTAATTTCACATATCTGCTTGATTTGCTTAAATTTGCATGTATTTGTTGTAACAAAAGAATGATAGGTAAAAGAAGATTCTTGAGAAGTCATTTCCTTGTCCCTTCACTTTCCATGGGAGGTGACAAAAGTCTCTTCTTTTAGATAACTTTCTGCAATGGAAGTTTCAAGAGATTTTTTAAAAAATAGTTGAACAAAATGAAATATACACAATGTATTTAGGACCATCACGTGACTAATTATTAATGATACAAATGTGATTCCTAGAAGGAACAATGAGTTGGGAATTAAAAATGTGGCCATCCCCCGTCGAGGGTGTGGGGAGGTGATTACTCACTTTCTCTCTCTCTCTCTCTCTCTCTCTTTCTCTGTGTTTTCAGCAAGTATATGCATGATATAGCAAAAATCTCCCTTAAATAAAAAAAAAAAAAAAACGCACCAAGCACTTGTGCATGTGTGCCACAAATCCTGAGAGGAGATGTGGAGAAATTAAAGTGTGTCCATTCCCCATTGGCGGAGAGGGTGCTTCTTCCCTTTTTTGATCTATGTCTGTCTCTGGTGAGCACATGCGCCCTCTGGGGTGGGGGGAAGAAAAATAACGTCATGGTATATATCTATGATTAAGAGCAGGTTTTGTTTTCAGATGCATTTAAGGTCCACTTTTGACGGTACCACCTACTAAATGCGAAACAATTGGCAAGTTATTAACAAAGCTTCTGTCTGCTTAACTGCAAAAAGAAAACGATAATGATATTTACTCCCAAGCTTATCTATTTGTTGAATTAAATAAGTGAATAAATAAATAATTATTGAGCATCTACTATGTTAATATACCAGGCACTCTTCAAGGGTCAGGGGATTATCTCAGAAAGCAAGAGTGACAAGATCCCTAGACAATAAGCCAGAAAATAAAAATGAGTGAATGAGCTAATAAAAACTGTAATGCAATGCTATGAGAGACGTAAACAGGGCAATGTGGATTGACAGTGGACATGGGGGCACCTTAGTATAATGGCCAGGAAAGGCTTCTCTGAGGAAGCGAAGACTTCTGAAGCTATTTGAAGACCTGGGGAGAGGAGAATGAGCACCAGTGGATGGAGTTAAAGAATTTTCTAGGCAGAGAACACAAGGGTAAATCTCAGGGAGGGGACAGGATTCAGAGTCCGAGAGTAAAAAGGAGGCCCCTGGAACTGGTGCACAGGGGGCAATAGGGCACTAGGTAGAAGAATGGGTGGTGAGCAGTCAGGTCACCAAGTGTCTTGTAGGGCAAGGTGAGGGATTGTTCTAAAAGCAATGGGGAGCCACTGAGGGATTTAAAGAGAAAGGCACCCTTATCTGATTTACATTTTTTTTTTTTGGAGAGATTTTCACTGTAGGGCGCGTGCTCTCGCCAGACAGACAGAGAGAGACGTAGAGACAGAAAGCGAGAAATCACCCCCCAGGGGGGATGGTCACGCCACAATCCCTTCTTCTCCATTCTCCTCTCGGGATCTTGGGCACGCACGCACACGCGCCCGGCGTGAGTTTTAAGCCACCGGGTCCGGGACACGAACCGCGGTTGACTACGTGGGAGTCCAGCAACATAGCCATTACGCTAACTGCTGGTTCCCTGATTTACATTTTTAAACAGTTTCTCTCTCCCTCCCATCGACAAATTCATTGAACTTGCCCTCCAAAATAAACCTTGAGCATCTCAATTTCTCTCTGCCTCCATTAAAACCACCTTTATCTGAGCTGTCATCTCTCGTTTAGGCTAATGCAATACTACCTTAAACACTGTAAGGCTGAGAACTTTCTAGACTTTCTAGGCAGTTGGACATTTGAGACTAAACCTGAGGCTGGGGGTTCCATAAGGTAACACACATAAAACACTTGGCACAATGTGTGGCTTCTAGAATGTTCTTAATACACATTTTTTGTTTGATTAAGTGAGAGAGTACAGAAGAGAGATACAGAAAGGAGAGAGAGAAAGAGGAGAGCGAAATATTCTTACAGGATCTTGCCTTTTCACCATGTCAAGATACTCCTGCCCCAGCCTCTCGGCTAGCTAGGACTGTCTGTTCATGCCACCTCACCTGGCCTGTTTAGGTTGGGTGGAGACTTGAACCCAGGTCTCCCAGGTGGCCACAGTCACTGTATGGCAGCGCGCTCCTGCTTGTACCATTGCAGCTGGGCCTTTAAATAATAATGATAATAATAACAACATGCATCCTCCTGGTGCATTTCAACATGATGAAAAGACCAAGAAATTTGGAGCAGGAGGTTTGGTTTTATGTCCCAGTTTAAAGGAAGTGTGGCTTTGGACAAATCCTAATTTCTCTGAGCCGGTTTCCTCCTTTGTAAAATAAAGGTGCTGAACACTTGTCCTTCCTGTCATACCGGGCTGTTGTGAGCTTCAAATATGATGATGGCTGCGAAAATGCTTTGTAAGCTGAAAAGCATCTTTTCATGAGAGATCAACTGTATGAAATTATATTTAATTCAGTTTCCCTTTGTGCACGACCTCTCAGGCTCCTATTCTGTAAGACAACATAATGAAATAAATTTTATTATAGGGCGCTGGGGTCTTTAGCTTTCAGGAGTCCTAGATTCTTAAACCTCAGCCTCATGTGGTCCAATAGACCAGTGCTGTCCAATAGAACTTTCTACACAAATGGAAATGTTGTATATCTGTACTGTCCATTACAGCAGCAAAAAAAGTTGAGTGTGAATAGTAGCCAGTGTGACTAAGGAACATTAATATCATTTAAATTTTTTAAGGAATTATTTATTTCATTTATTTATTTATTTATTTATTTATTTATTTATTTTATTTGCTACAGGGCATGCACACTCATGAGAGAGAGAGAGAGAGAGAAAGTGAAAAAGCAAGACACCAGGTCCAGGAATCGAACCATGGTCAGCCATGTGTGAGTTCAATACTCCAACCACCATGTCACCTGCTGGCCCGTTATTTTAAAATGTTAATTAATTTAAATTGCCACAAGTGGCTGGTGGCTACTATATTGAATGGTTCAAGTCTCAAAGCTCTACTGTCTCAAGGCCTTCATCTGTAAAATATGGGCCCATGGCATCTTTCCTGGTTCTATCTAGTCTTCTACATAGGCAGTCCAGAAATAGCTAAGCCAATTTGAATAAAATAAGGATGAAGGCCTGAGTCACTTTTTTTTTTTCATTCTCAAGATGAATCTAATCCTAGACATTTCTTTATTTTTTTCTAGACTTTTTTTTTTTTAATTCACAGCCGGTTTATTTATCAACAAGAGGAAAAATGACAACAACGACAACACTGACTCAAGTAAAAGGCGACCACGGAAGATGAACTACCCCAGAAACACATTCTCCTGGGAGTGATATCTTGGTATCAAGTAGACAACTTGTTCCAAAGTTAACATTCTTCATTTCTCATTAGGAAAACTCTCTAGGGAGAAACTATTTGGACCTGCCTAAATAAAGGGGCGGCTGCAGTGGGCTTGCTTCTATGAGGCTGACAGTTGTGAGATCACAAGAGGCATCTGTGATGAAGCTGGCACTAATTTTACCTCTTTGTGTAAGGTCTGTCTTCCTAAGACTGGATATTTACAACACATGGTGAAGTACAGAGAGAAACAACAAAAGGGAAGGGAACGGTAATTGAATCATTTTTTGAGAAAAATGAATGCTCAGCAGAAAACATCCCAGACGATTGAGAGGACTGTAGGCCAGAGATGGCAAGAAGTAAGAAAAGCTTTTAAAGGAGAGAAGTGAATACGGAACTAAAATCAAGAGGACTGAGAGGGAACAGATTGGGGTGGGTGGGGTGAGGATCAGAGAAGAATTCCAGATCCATTTGTGAAAGACACCAGGAGCTAAGCTTGTCTGTGGGGGAAAAAAATAAAGAACGAACCCAAATGAGGAAGATCGGCAAAAAAATCACTTTGGGAAGAAAGATGGTGACAAGGTAGTGAGGACAAGGAGGCACAGCTGTCATCTCATTTAATTCAGAAATTATTAATGGGACGGAACAGCCACAGTGAGCCTTAACTGATGAGATGCTACTCAAATTCTAGACAATAGCAGTGGAAGACACACAAGTTACCGAGAGCCAAAGGGGTAAGAATGCTAATTTAATTGATAGTAACATTATACTTAACGCAATGCTTAGGAATTTAAAAATCACACATTAAATAAATTTATATGACTCTAGTGATCTAATTACAATTGTTTAAATAATGTAATAAAAATTAAATGATTTAAAAGAGAGAAAGCCCTAATATTTTGAAGTGGTCACTGTCATGTACTGAACTATCTTTTTTAAGCATTTGATGCTCAGTCCTGCAGTCTTGGTGGAGGTCACATTACCCTAAGGGCCACACGTTTACCAAATGCATACAGTTGTTAGCTGGGGGGAAAAAAAAATGAAACCTTCACTTTGTGATGCCTTACTTTTTTCTTTCATTTCCTATTCTGCCATTATCAGAACAGCTAGCTTCTCCCCTCAGTCACTTTATCTCTTTCCCCTTCACCTCCCCCACACCAGGCAGGGTCCCAGATAATCCCTCCTCATCCTCCTCAGAAGATGGCGTGGCACCAATCCTGTTAGGCTAACCTTGAACTACTAGGACCTAGTTCTCGCACATAGTTCAGTCGTGAAGTTTACGTCGCACACGCTGTCTGGGTTGCAGGACGGACAGCCAAGAACCACAGACTTATGGTGGGGACCATGTTGCTGACTGTGGCTCCAGAGAGAAATGCAACATTTTGTCACCTGACTCCTTTATGAGTAGTTGGTCCTGAAATTCTTCTCACTCTCAGTAATAACTTCGCAGTGACTGGAAAGCAAAAAGACATTGCAACTGAGTTATTTGAAAAAATATTTATTTTTCCTGATAATACGTGACTGTCGTAAATTATTTTCTAAAAAAAAAAAAAATCACAGAAAGTTAAAGCTCTTATAATCTTACCCAGAGATGATCATCATCTCATCAAGAATTTGATGTACGCTTTCAGAAATTATACATTAACATCAATGGGATTGTATCTATGAATTGTTCTTTAGGATCTCTTTCTAATATACAGCATGGGGGACATTTTTCTACATCAATATGCCATGCTTTTTTGAATTAGACACCTGTATTTGTAAGGTTATCTGCCCATTAGGAGAAAAAGTGCTGCCAATTATAATTGTCAGACTCCTTTGACTATAAGACATACAAATTTCAGGTATGCTAAAGTAATTCTTAAAAATCTTTAAGTGATAAAATACAGTATTAAAAACCTACCTTATCTTTTTGACAGCTATATAATATTGCATGTGTAGTCACATCATAACATATAAAGCCTTATTAGTAGGCATTAATGTTGTTTCCAGTATTTTCATCAACTTCTTTAATATATATCTTTGCACACTTGTCAGATTACTTCTTTGGGCTGAACTCCTACAAGTAGAAATGATGAATTAGACACATTAATTAGTATGAGTTAGTCACTGCACAATGCATACATATTTAAAAACGATATGTTGAACAGGGTAAATAGATACAATTTTGAGTCCACCTAGTAGCGTGGTGGTAAGGCAGCTGGATCCCACCACAATGTTTGAATCCTAGACCTGGTAGCTTGAAATTATACATATCAGCCATATGTGTGTGCTTGCCCAAAATCCTGATAGAAATTTGGAGGAGGAGGGCTGTGGTGTGGTCATCCCCACAGGAGATGCTTCCTCACTTTCCCTTTCTCTGTCTCTTTGGTAAGTGTACATGTCTTGTAACAAAATTTATATACATATATATATATATATATATATATGCACACACATAGTATAACATATAATATATAAAAACACATAATATATAATATATATAATTTTTATTTGTCAGTTTAAAAAATAATTTTAAAAAATCAATGGAATGAAAAATATGTTAACCCTGCCTACCACCTCAAGAAATACTGATTTATACTCTTATTAGTTCTGTTTCAGGGTACATAGTTCTTCAGTTCCTGAGTAATGATATATTTTCTTTCTTTCTTTCTTTCTTTTTTTTTTTTTAAGAATTATTGCATTTAACTTTATTTATTTATTTATTTTAATTTTATCAGAGAGGAGCTGAACAAGAGAGAGAGGGAAAGTGAGAAAGCAAGCTACCAGTTCCAGGACTCAAACCATGATCAGCCATGTGGGAGTCCAGTGGTCTTAATCACCACACCACCTGCCATCCACAAAATGATATATTTTCTACTTAAGCTTTATGTAGACCTCAAATAAGAAAACTTCAAAGCCACAACTTAATTTGCCATCCACTATCATTCTTGTCTTTCATCTTGGCATTTCCAATATTCAAGAAACTTCCAGAATATGAAATGTTGATGTTCAGAGATGATTGATTTTGTTTTCTTTTTAAAAAGTTTGCTTGGGATCAGCAGTTAGTGTAGGGGCTATGTTGCTGAACTCCCATGTAGCCGACTGCGGTTCGAGTCCCAGACCCGGCGGCTTAAACTCACGTTGGGTGTGTGTGCGTGAGTGTCCAAGATCCCGAGAGGAGAATAGAGGAGAGGGGATTGTGGCGTGGCCATCCCCCCTGGAGGGTGATTTCTCGCTTTGTATCTCTTGTCTCTGTCTGTCTGGCGAGCGCACGTGCCCTATAGCAAAAACCTCTCCAAAAAAAAACCCTAAAAAATTCCCAAAACTTTGCCAGAGGGTTAATGTACTCACAAGAGGGAGAGAGGCAGAAAGAGGGAGAAAACATCCCCCCCAAAGGATGGTCATACCGCAATCTCATTTCCTCCATTTGTCTATCCTGTCAGGATTTGGGACATGCATACACACATGCTGGCACGTTTTTCAAGCTACTGGGGCTAGATTTTGAACTGTGAGGTCAGCCAAGTGGGATCTGACTGTCTTAATCATCAGGTCATGGGGTCAGCCCATAAATGATTTTCTGGTAATGAACACATCTCAGATCTGTTTATTTGCAGAGAGATGACTGTAATAACCAGGGTGTAGTCAGTGATCTATTTTATTACTCTTTATCTTTCTGCCAGTTCAGATCAAGGCCTAAAGATCACGAACCTTTCTATATGTCTTAGTGTTTTTTTAAGTTTCATTTGTTTTGTCATAGGGCGCATGGGCCTGCTAGAGAGAGATAGTGAGAGGGAAAGTGAGAAATCACCACCCCAGGAGGGTTGGCCACATTGCAGTTCCTTCTCTTCCATTCTCCTCCCAGGATTTTGGACATGCATGTACATGTGCCCAGTGTGATTTTCAAGCTGCCAGGTCTGGGACTCCAATCGCGGTAGACCATGTGGGAGTCCAGTGCCTTAACTACCACACCATCTCCTGACTCTGTGTTTTAGAATTAATGGTACCAGTAACTAGAAATTAGTTTTGGATTACTTTCCTGAGCTCTTTTGCTCCTTTGATCTGAAATGGCTGAACTCACACTATGCACTAAGCTTTGGGGACACAAAGATGGGCAACTTATAATTCTGCCTGAAGAGCCTCAATCCAGAGGGAGATGAGAGACCCTCATATATAAAGTTAAAGAACAATGGAAGACAAGAGCATCGATTTCATGAGACAGGCTATGATTTAGTGTCAGATGTGCAGACATTAAGTCCAGAATGTGAATGAAATCTGGAAATAAGAAGCTCTGTCCCTCTGAGAGTCACCAAAACCAATGCTAATGTGCCGTGACCCTCTGGAAGCACAAAGATGACACATGGTCAATCCCTTTATAGGCAGCATCTGTGCCCTGTGGTGTCCCTCGGGAGTCTATGGCAGATCACCAAATGCTCAGTCTTTTCCTAGAGCACCAGAGGCACAGCTGACCAGTGTCTTCTGGGTCCTGGAGGGGAGGAGTAGGACCAGCAGCTCCTCAGGAGCAGTGCCTGAGGGCACGATGCACAGTTCCATGATCCTGAGAGTTGTACTCAGGAGCTACCCTGCTAGGGGAAAGCGTGAACCCATGAATTATGTTTCTATGCCCTGTGGCACAGGAAGCAGGAAGAAAAGACCTCTCCACAGATCCACAGAATGAACTTCCCAGTTAATCAGCAATTCAAGCTTCGGGACATGTGCCTCCTGCACCAGATTTCATGAGGAAGGAAGGGAAAGAGAGGAGGGAGAAAGGGAGAGAGAGGGAGAAAGGGAAGGAGAGGGAAAAAGGGAGGAAGAGGGAGAGAAGGAGAGAGAGGGAGAAAGAAAGGAGTGACAAGAGCTCTTTTTGTTATTTTTAATTTTCTTCATGAGAGAGATAGTGAGAAAGAGAGAACTCCCAGCAGGATCTTGATATGGCGAGTCACTCCCAGTTTCTGCTAGTCCTGATTACAGGCACTCATATGCTCCTGTACTCAGGGGGGTCTCTGCATAAGAACCTAGAACCTTCCCGTGTGGCTCAGCCTTACAGAGTTTTGTTTTACCGCTAAGCCACCAACCAATCCCTCTTTGTCTTCCTTCCTTCCTTCCTTCCTTCCTTCCTTCCTTCCTTCCTTTTCCTTTCTTCTATCTTTTATTCTTCCTTCCTTCCTTCTTTTTCTTTCTCCATTGTTTCTTTTCCTTCCTTCCTTTCTTTCTTCTCTTTCCTTCTTTCTTTCTCATTCTTTTCTTCTTTCTCTCCCTCCCTCCCTCCCTCCCTCCTTCCTTCCCTCCCTTCCTTTCTTCCTTCCTTTCTTTCATCCTTCTTTCTGTTTTGTTTTCATTGTTCCTGAAGCCAGATGTATGTGACTTTTAGGAGGTGTCACATCATAACCCTGCATCAGGGCTCTGATTTACAAAGGAGAGCAAGAAACCCAGGGCTCACTTGCTGATATTGACAGTACAAATGCACCTGCCCCAGGCCCTCCAAGTCAGGGCCTAAACTTGTAAAAGATGCCATACAGGCTATGAGCTCCCAGAGGAACACAGAGGGGTGGCCAGGGGAAATAACTGGCCCACATTGGTGGCATTTAAACAGAACTGTGAATCCGAATAACCTTAAGGCATTTCCAAATAGGCTCATGCTTCAGGAGCACCCCAAACCTTCTGAACCAGAATCTCATGGTGGGCAGGGCATTGTTTTTTAAAGAAGTTCCTCTGATTATGCATCATACAACTAGCTTATCTCTATCCTGAAATG